TATTTTTATAATTTATTAAGTTTATAATCCAAAAGTAAAAAATTCTAAAACATTAAATTATTTTAAATTATTGCTATTTAAAAATTAGGACAAGTCTCAAGGATACCAGAACCCATTTTGTTCCATTATAATACAGTTGAAAGCCTGAATTTTACCCAACAATATTTTCTAACTCCTGTATTTTTGTTCTCAGAGTACTAGAAGAACTCTCCTAAAACTACAAAAATGGGCAAGGAGAAGATTCACATTAATATCGTCGTTATTGGACACGTCGATTCCGGCAAGTCGACCACCACTGGTCACTTGATCTACAAATGTGGTGGTATCGACAAGCGTACCATTGAGAAGTTCGAGAAAGAAGCCCAGGAGGTAATGTCCAATAATTTTTAGACACAGCGTTCTATAATTGCATAAATGTAGTTTTAAGAATTAATCAATTACAGTCAAATATGAGAGATATTCGACTGTGGTTAGTCAATTTTTACAAATACGAGTATTTACAACTACTTTTACACAAGTACAGAATGGTCTAAAAAACACTTTGTATAACAATATACTGTTATGACATAATGATGATACATTTTTTCCTCGTTCGCGGTTTTCACGTGAGGATTATCTTTTAGTCCGTTGACGGTCGAAAATGTCTGAATGTCATTTCGTCAAAGGCTGCGTTCCATTTGGCGCTCGCAATATTCTTAGAATCATTTTTTCTTGTTTATCAAATGTTAAACAAGAATAATTGATGAGCGCAAAATTGTATGTAGCCAAAGTTTTTATCAATAATATTGAGACTTGTTAAAACGGATCTAGTAACAATGGAAGACACTTAGAAGGATTTGAAATGGAATGAATCTAATCGAAATTATTACTTTTTAGATGGGCAAAGGTTCCTTCAAATATGCCTGGGTACTCGACAAACTTAAAGCCGAACGTGAGCGTGGTATCACTATTGACATTGCTTTGTGGAAATTTGAAACTTCTAAATACTATGTGACGATTATCGATGCTCCTGGACACAGAGATTTTATCAAGAACATGATCACCGGTACCTCGCAAGCTGATTGTGCGGTATTGATCGTCGCTGCTGGTACTGGTGAATTCGAGGCTGGAATTTCAAAGAATGGACAGACTCGCGAGCACGCTCTTCTCGCGTTCACCCTCGGCGTCAAGCAGTTGATTGTCGGAGTTAACAAAATGGATTCCACTGAGCCCCCGTATTCCGAGACTCGATTCGAGGAAATTAAGAAGGAAGTGTCGTCCTACATCAAAAAGATCGGTTACAATCCAGCCGCTGTTGCATTCGTACCAATCTCTGGCTGGCACGGAGACAATATGTTGGAGGTATCCGCCAAGATGCCTTGGTTTAAGGGATGGGCTGTAGAGCGTAAGGAGGGCAAGGCCGAAGGTAAATGTCTTATCGAAGCTCTGGATGCCATCCTGCCACCCACCAGGCCAACTGACAAGGCTCTTCGTCTTCCCCTTCAGGTAACGATATCTTAATCGCGCAATTTTTAATCTTAGTGCAAATAGTTTATATGATGATACTTATGTAATTTCATTCGTGGTTTTCACCATAGGATTTTTAATCCGTTGATGGCCAAGATTCGTCTGATTCTATGAGATATTATAAAATGAATGATTAACTTGAAGCAGAATAATGATATTTTTTTGCGATATTGCAGGACGTGTACAAGATTGGTGGTATTGGAACAGTACCCGTCGGCCGTGTTGAGACTGGTGTACTGAAACCTGGTATGGTAGTTACCTTTGCACCCGCTGGATTGACCACTGAAGTTAAGTCCGTCGAAATGCACCACGAAGCTCTGCAAGAGGCTGTGCCCGGCGATAACGTTGGTTTCAACGTTAAGAACGTGTCTGTTAAAGAATTGCGCCGTGGATACGTTGCTGGAGATTCCAAGAATAATCCGCCCAAGGGTGCTGCTGACTTCACCGCACAGGTAGGCTTATTACACTTAATTGCACTCGCTTTATTAGTCTTTTTGACACTATGATGAAAAATTTAATTATCTCATTCGCGGTTTTCACCAGAAGTTTTCTAATGATGGGTCGAATACGTCTGAGTGTCTTAATGTTTAAGTATTAAAATTACATGCTATTAACTTTAAAACATTGTAAGATATGATTTATATATATGAATATATAATTAATATAATTATTTATTTCATACAGGTCATCGTGCTCAATCATCCTGGTCAAATCAGCAACGGATACACACCCGTATTGGATTGCCATACTGCTCACATCGCCTGCAAGTTCGCTGAAATTAAGGAGAAGTGCGATCGCCGTACCGGCAAAACCACTGAAGAAAACCCGAAAGCCATCAAGTCCGGTGACGCCGCCATTGTCACCCTGGTACCCAGCAAGCCCATGTGCGTTGAGGCTTTCCAGGAGTTCCCACCCTTGGGACGTTTCGCTGTTCGTGACATGCGTCAGACAGTAGCTGTCGGCGTCATCAAGGCCGTCACCTTTAAGGATCAAGCGGGCAAAGTCACCAAGGCCGCTGAGAAAGCCCAGAAGAAGAAATAACTATTGTAATAGTTTCCGTGCATACATCGATAGTTTCCGTGCGAATATGCCACCGGGCGGACGACGGCGCACATCAGCCGACGTAACTCATCCTCCTTTGTATGACTCGCGAGAGACGAACTTGGCAACATTGTCTACAACGGAGTTCCTCGTGAGGACTTTATCGCGAGCTACGATCGGAAATGAGAGAACGACGATCCAATCGCGCAGATTGGCTTCTCGTGCATGCAAGATCGCGCTACCGCGCTTCCTCGGCGCGCGGACATTTCGCTTGTCGAAATGGCTCCGTCATTTTTTTCACCGTAAGGAGTTTCGCAGGAAAGAACACGGGATGTTTATCTCTGGCCGATAATATATTTTCGTCTCGTGGGAGTCCGCAAGGAGGAAGAGCGAACTTCGCGCGAGCTATCGCAAACAACGTACACCTACCAACTACTTCATAACGAACATCAACATAATTTAGCGCGGCTTAATTATATTTTCTAATTACTATACGGAAATAAATTCTGTATATATCCGATATTTCGAAAAGAGACATGTCATTATTACTCTTCGTTGACATTGTTACTTCATTGGTAACTTGTCAAGTTTATCATCCTTTTGAACAAAACAATGCCTCATTTTTATCGCTCTCACATCTACGGTAGCTATACGATCTAACCAGATAAAAAATAATATATATATCGTTGCGATGTCCGTATTATTTTGTCTTCTTGGTAGCTTTTTTTATATTAATCGTTCAGATTATTAATTCAAGAAACGTAGACTAGAGAGAACAACAGTAGTAGACCTTGACAAAGATAGATTTCGTTGGGATATGGGACCTGTTGTTTCCTCTGATTATCTTTCCATTCAGTTATAGGTAAGATAGATCCAAATATCCTCAAGAAAGAAAACCTTTTTCTACGAATTATTCTTTTTATCAACTAACGTCTAACAGGAAGTGCATGCGCAAGATGACTTTTACAATAACTCGGTACCTTTCATCCCCTCGCGATTTTTCTACAAATGACATTGGTTAACGGTTTTCTGTATGTACATACATATAAATACCAGCGATGACGAGTAAGAGCGAAAATAAAGAAGCTGCGGAAACGAGACGTCGGTGATTCACTATCACCAGTACGCAAACCCGACTCCTTGTCTTCCCTTGCAACCTGTCCGGATGCTACATCAGAATTTCCACGAAGACTCAGAAAACGCATAAAATATACGTAAGCGCAATTTAATGGTACGTATGAGACTCTCGGCTTGAAAGAGAGAGAGTATAGAATTGAATTTTTTAACACATGGTTTACATAAATAAAAATTAATATAATTGCAAAACTAACCAATTTATATTCCGTTGTGATTCTTACGAAAAAAAACATTAAATATTCCGCATGATTCATTAAAAAGCGCGAAGTTTAGCGTTGCAAAAATAAATGTTCAAAATTAACAATTAATATAAATACATTCAATAGTAATATATATTTTTTACTTACATTTGTAACATTAATTTCTGTTTGTCGAGATTTAGGTACTATATCCTATTGTCTATAAATTGCGATTACGTATGTATTTAATGTGTATTAAATGATAGAATATCTTGTTAAATGCGGAAAATGTCGCCAAATTAATTTCGCTATTTTTTCTTTTTCATTTAATTGAACTATGTATGCTCGATGTATAAATATTCAAATATATGAAATTGCATTAATTATAGGCATGCATTAATATGTTTTATTGGTGTATTAATAGTATTAACAAAAGAGAAATAATGAACAATCTTGGAGTTTTAGTTGATGTTTCCTCATTTTATTCTTATTTTTTCTTATTATGTACTAGATGTATACTGTCAATTTTGAAAAATTTAGAAATAATTTTAAGGATATTTTAAATTAAATACAAAGATTGACAAAACCAAAAAACTGCAAACGGATGAAACATGGCACAGCCCAAAATTTATTCTTGAAAGTGCAAAATTTATTGTCGCAAAGTATCTTACCGTGAATTACAAAATTGAATTACGTTACGTCAGAATGAATGAGACTGCAAGTGCAGCCAGCATCAACAATCGGTCATAATGCATGAACATTGAACGCTAATCAAAAGGTCCAGAAGCTCCACTTAACGTGCCGAGGTATTTATGAAAAGTACTATACGGATCTCCGGGGACTCCGGATATCGGCGATGGCAGGGAGAAACGACAAAGAGAGAGAAGATACTGATGGAAGGTACAGGAAGCGCGGCTGCAAGGGAACGACCCGCCGATAACGTTGCATCACGTTGTAACGTGCATCTACTCGAGCCGCCACGCTCCAATTGCCACATTTACCATTCATTGCCATTTGCCACCGAGCTGATCGGAATTCCGCTATGTCGAGGTTAGGAACTGTTTACTTGTCAAACCGACGGCATCGAGGAGAGACGTAGGCGAAACATGAGGAAAATCTGGTGATGAGTGACGGGACGCTTTTTCGCGGAAAACATGTTTTTCCCCGTAGGATGGCCGCGGGTTCTCAACACCTGCGAGCAGGGCAAAATCAACGCTGTGGTGTGCAACAGAGACAAAATTATGTTCGCCGTTCTTACCGCGGACTCTCTTGTCATCTGGTACTGCAAGGCACGTAATTTAAGCCAAGAATCTGCTTCCCCCATACGATACAGAAGCTTGCACGGCTTGCATCAATATTGCTGCAACGTTGCGACGTTACTGCAATATTGCTGGAATGATTTGTACTGTATAGGTTTTAGCCAAGTTATGGTTTTAAATCTCCCAAGATTTATCACAGTCATAATAAAATCTATAATAAACAAAACGTTAAGTATATACATAGAATTCATTATAACTGTATTTTTCAGCAAGAAACATAGATGAGTATAGTGAACCACATCCTTATTACTTGTTGATATTACACAAAGATAAAATGTTTTACTATGGCTGGTTTCCTTTTAGGAGACAGTCGACACAAGTGTCGTTCAATCTTTGTCACTCTCTGAATATCAAGAAAGACGCTTGTGTCGATTTGTGTTATCAAATGAAAAGCAGTGTACATTATACTGTGTTATCTGTGTCTCTTGGAAAACATCATGTATATTCACTTCATATCTTTTATAATTAAATCTATTGCATATATTAAACTACATACGTTCTCTTGTAATTTCCATGTGGACATTTCTGTATTTAATAATTTTTAAAACAATTTATTGCAGCCCTGTGTACCAATTGTATTTAGCAGACGGTCTGCAAATTCTTTGTGGCAACATGGTGAGAACGTCTTGGTGCAATGGAGACCAGACTCGAGTATGCTGGTTATTGCAACATCGGACAGCTACCTGCTGTTTTACAAACTTTCAGACAACAGTGCGGAGGGCCGGGGACTTTACGAACAACGAGATTCACCAGTTACTAGTTTGAAACGGGATAGTGCAGAATTATTTATTAAAGAAGTCATTCCATCTCTCATCTTGAGTTTCGTAAGTTTTTTGATAATTTCTCATTATCGAGCGTGATGTGAGAAATTTAAAATGGAAATCAATTATGAACTGTTTGTTAACTGATTAAAATCATTTAACATTAAACCATTAGGTTCATCGGGACTACAGTGATTTAATTTCCTCTTGTTTATTTTGTAGGAAAAGTCGGCTTGGATCGACGGTGGGATCAGTTCATTAGTTTGTATACGAGATGAGCTTATGGTAGCGACCAAAACTAGCCACGTGGTACGCCATAAATGGGACGGCACTATGAATCGCGACTATTCTTTAGATTTGAGACGTATACCGTTCAGTATTGATCAGCAAATTTCCACAGTGGCTGTACCACTTACAGAGAATAACATTTATGTTACTGATATTGAATATTCGCCTCTCGTTGGTGGTTTTGCTATCGTGTTGAATAATGGCAAAGCTGCATTTCTCACTGCTCAATCTTTGAAATTTGATCCTAATCAAGTACAAGGAATCTGGGCTCAGGATTTGGATGATGCTACATGCGCTGCTGTTAATCATAAATATCGGCTAATTGCCATTGGTAGACAAAAGTAAGTGTTAGTTTCATAGTGCTGTTCTTGAATTTGTATTGTTAATATTTTCTCTAATTAAGTTCACTTTTAATTACAAATATTTTAATTTGCAGTTCCGAAGGTGTTGTATATTATGTTGATGAGACAACTGGCGGTTTAGAGATGTCGCATACGTTGAGTCTATCTTCCAAAGATTACCCAGGTCGACCGGGTAGCGTTAAGTGTCTCAGATGGACACCCGACAGTTGTGCAATCGCTCTCGCTTGGGAAGGCGGCGGTTTAGCACTGTGGAGTACCTTTGGTGCCCTGTTGCTCTGTAGCTTGAAATGGGACTACGGCCTACGCGTAGATTTGACACACGATAATCCTTTGCATATCCATACAATGGAATGGTCTGCGGAGGGCTATCAGCTATGGATGCTGCGAGAATCTCCAGGATCTTTGGTTACCAACGAAAACGGCAATAAAGCCACCAATTTAAGTCGCTCTCTTATTCAATTGGATTTCGCTAAAAGTCCTCTGACTATCAACCCGTGCATGGGCCATCACGGACATTTGTATCTTCAAGGCGAGGATAGACTATATTTAAATTTAGGAGCCGGATTATCTTCGACCGCTTCGGGTTTTCATCTTGCTGCCGAAATGCCCAACGACAGTATGCTTCAGACACTTGCCGGCTGCAAACAATGGCTCGTTGTGCCTATTCCGACTGCGTACAGCGGTTCCAATTGGCCAATTCGGGTAAATGTAATATTTATAAGTATAATAATATGACAATATTAGTATATTTGGAAAAAACGTATTGTAAATTACTGATAATTTCCGTATCATTTAACTTTATTATTTCGCGATCTTATTAATCATGTAGTGTTATAAATCATTTTGTTAGCTACATAATATTAATAAAAGATTTTAAAGAGCATTTTTTATCATCATATATAATTAATTCACATATATATGTATTTATATTTACAGTATACTGCAATAGACAGCGAAGGTTTGAGTCTTGCAGTGGCCGGTCGAACAGGATTAGCACATTATTCCTTACCCTCGAGAAAATGGAAGTTATTCGGTAACGAGAGTCAAGAGCGGGACTTTATAGTAACTGGAGGATTGCTATGGCATAAAGGATATCTCATAGCTAGCAGTTATTCTATATTAGACGATAAAGACGAGATTAGAATTTATCCACGCGATACTCGACTTGATAATAATTATGTCAAAAGTGTCAGGATGCCCTCGCAGGTGCTATTACTGAATACGACGAAAGACAGACTTTTAACTTTCTGTGCCAATGGTCAAATTAGTATCTATGATATGGTGTTACAAAATAGCGTAGGTAAGTATAAGGTTGCTTCTATATTTAAAATTGATTTTGAAAAGTTTCGATCAATCTTCATTCAGTGAAATGGTCGTGTTATTATTTTAGAAGCCGGTGGTATCGAATTAACGAGGATACAAACAGTGGACATTAGTGGACTGTGCGTACATCCCGCTTGCGTAGTTAGCGCCACTTTGACTTCGATTCGCGCGGAGACTGCTGGCAGTCATCCTCATCCTGAGAGTCTTCTGTTGAATGTCTCCGGACGCCTTCTCATGGTTCAACGTGAACATTCTACTGACAATTCGGAAACTCTTTTCACATGCGGCGCACCAACAGTATTAGCGTCCTACGTCGAGAATGTTTGGGTTCCATCACGTTCAAGGAGGGATAAGCCACATTTAACCGAGGCTTTGTGGTTATTTTGTGGGGCTCACGGCATGCGAGTTTGGTTGCCTCTATTCCGTAATCATCAGGAGAAAGCACATGCTTTTATGAGCAAGCGGATCATGCTACCATTTCACTTGCGCATTTACCCATTGGCGATACTCTTTGAAGACGCTATTCTACTGGGAGCCGAAAACGATACTGTGTTGTTCACGTCGGACACTAATTCGCCTTTTTCACTGCCCTTCAATTTATTGGAGCTTACGGTATTAATTTAATTTTCTTTTAATATTTTAATATAAAATAAAATTCATTTTTATTTCTAGTTACTTAAATGTAATGAAAACTTTATATTTCAGAGTCAAGTATATTTACATCAGATTCTACGTCAATTAATACATCGGAACTTAGGCTATCACGCGTGGGAAATAGCGCGTTCGTGCTCCGCGTTGCCATATTTCCCGCATTCGTTGGAACTGTTGCTTCATGAGGTCCTCGAAGAAGAAGCGACGAGCAAAGACCCTATTCCAGATGCTCAGTTACCGTCCGTCGTGGAATTCATCCGCGAATTTCCCGGTGTTTGGGCCAGAGCCGTCGTACAATGCGCTCGCAAGACCGAAATCGCACTTTGGCCGTATCTGTTCTCCGTAGCCGGTCCACCAAAGAAGCTATTGCAAGATTGTTTACAACGTCAGCAACTCGATACCGCCGCTAGTTATTTAATTATTCTACAAAATTTAGAGCCATCTTCCGTCAGTAGGCAGCACGCCACGTTACTGTTAGATGCTGCGCTAGAACAAGGTAGATGGGAACTATCAAGGGATCTTGTGAGATTCCTTAGAGCAATCGGTAAATAATCTTATAAATTTTTATAAATATGATTAACTCAGATCATTTCAAGTAATGTCTTAAAATACTAATAGTAACAATAACTAGTTGCTTTTAAAAAGTAACTTTCCATTTTCCGAAAATTAACGTTACATTTTTTATATAAATTCAGACCCAAATGACGTGGAGTCACCACGTACATCGTGGAGTGGTAGTGCGAAACTGGTAGGCCCTCCCCAGACTCCTCCTCTTTCTCCGCATGAGGACGATCTGGCCTTAGTCTTGGGTACTATGCAGGTTTCGAGAAGCCGCAGTTACAGTACCACAGTTACGCCTAAAGTGCAATCTGAGAAAGATGTCGCGCCGTCTTCTATGTTAGAGAAAACCCGTAACGTTGTTATGAGACGAAAGAAATCGGTTCCAACAGCAAAATCTAGTGAGAAAACTGAAAATAAGTGAGTATCCCATTTTTTCTTTTTTTTTGCATTTCAAAATAGATAGTATATAAAGTTATGTGAATATTTAATTTGAGACATTTATAAAATTGAATTTATATAGTATAAATCTTATTTTTTTTGTTGTTGAACCAATCAAATTTATAATTTTTTAGGGAAGGATCGGCAGAAGAGTTCTTCATTGATGTGATCTTGCAACGTCATGCCCGGCGGCTGCTGTCAGCTCGCCGCTTGATCGATTTGGGTAGATTCGCAGCACGTCTTGACTTCCATTTAGTGACGTGGTTCGCTCGAGAGCGTGATAGAGCAGCAAGAATCGATGATTATGTAGGCACGTTAAAAGCAGTCCACGAAGACTTTGCATTTCCATATCCGATGCTTTCGTTGCCAACGCTGCAGAAATTTCGGAGATCTAGCCTCACTTCTTTACACTCCATAATATCCGATGACGAAACCTTGTCTCCGAACTTGATCGTCGACGTACCTGACAGTGGATATACTAGTCTTCCAAGTGGTAGGCCACCGTATACAACATTGGTCTCACCCGTCGCTAGCTTAGAGACGCAATTTCCAACCGCGGAAGCCAAATTAACGCCGAATCTGATAAATGGTAAGTAATATTCTTTATTTGAAGTACTTCAAATTTCTGTTCATATAAAATTTTTTTTACGAAGATGCATATCATAAATAATGGAAAATTGTTGTACACTAATAATTTTTTGCGTTTGATTTATAATTTCAGATGCCAATAGTGTTCTTAGTGATACTAGTACTATCTGGAGAGACGATGCAGAATCTATGGTTGGCTCTGTGTGTTGGGTGTCACCGGAGTCAGTGGGATCTACAGAAATCAATCCAGCCTCAACTTCCGCACCAATCGGTCGAGCAGAAGTACAGCTCAGGTACGAATATTTTTTAACTTTAAGAACTACAATTATCATCTCATTTGCTTTCTTACTTATTTGATTTATTTATATAAGTTAAACTGTCTTGTTTAACTTATTGTTATTAAAAAATTATTTTATATCTTATATATCTTTATTGACTTTATTTTTATATTTTTACAGGTATTTACTACAGTTGTTTCTTGAAGGCAGTTGTCTAGGATGGGCAGCGGTTGTAGCTACCGTCCTTCGAGATGCAGCGGCCATGGCTAGAACTGTCAGAACGGCACACGCACCAATGCAAACTTTTGATTCTATAATCAATCTAAGAGATGGATTGCTTACTTTAACCAAATGGTCTCATTCGGAATGGTATATGTATATTATCACATATATGTGTCTTCATGTGTATACATAGCAATTTTTTTTAATGTTGAAAATTGAAACTAACGATTTGCTTTAATAAACTCAAAGTTTATTAATTTTTTGCGAAGATATTTTCTCATCTAAATAAGTGACTTATAAAGTTTAAATTTTAAATGCGGTATTTATTCAATCTTACTGTTAAATTTATTACAATTTATACAATTTAATTATAAATATTGATTCTGATTTTTAACATTCTGATTTCAGTTTAGGATATCGTCCTTTTATGTCAAACATCCAAAGTCAGATATTGTTGTTGAATCGACTGATAATAATCAAGCAACAACAGGAACAGGAACAAATACCAGAAAGTCCTTCCCCAAGTCCAGCTCCATCCGCTAGCAGCAATCAGCGCGGTACTCTCTCCCGTTCAAGACACTCTTCGATCAGTCATGCTTCCAATACAGCTCCGCTCGAAGAGGACCGCCCGCACGAATCACTCTTGACCGTCGAGGAGTCAGTATTTCATGGAAGTTACAATAATAATCTCAATGTCACGGAGGACACATCGCCACAGAGCGCTTGCACAATCTCTTAAAGGTGCTTCATGAAAAACTAAGGCTGTCCACTTCATTATGTATTTTACATACCAAATGGATTTTTTCAGGTTATTTAAGATCAAGTTTTAGAAACTGATATTACTCGATTACGTTTTGCATGTAAGGATTTCGTATATACTAGATGATTATTTCATAGAAATTGAATTTTATTTTGAAGCCATTGATTAAGACCTTGGTTATCTTGATATTAAGAATAATTTTTTTGTAATGTGATAGAATTTTGTAAAATTGATATGAAGAACATCCTCGTTCTAATGCAGGTTGTTCCAGAAATTCCTTATGATTCGAAGAAATCCTGAAAATTTGTACATAACGTTTTGAAACATCTTTTTATTAACTTTACATTGAAGATTTTGAATTGTATAGGATGAAACATGTAAAGGTGAATGATTCACATGTACATAAGCATTTATGATATTATTAAGATACATACTGCGTTGCGAGAAATAAAACTCGGACGCGATGTATGAAGTCGCCAAAGCCAATGGCAGTTCTTAAATGATTTTACCGCTGTGCATAAAAGCACTTGCATAATGATGCTCATTTGTTAATTATGAGCAATAGGAAATAGCAATATAATGAAGTTAAAGAATGAACATGGCGGTTTAAAGATTAAATCAAAATCTTGGTGCGTCAAGAGGTCTGATATTATATAATAATAATTATGTAATACGCAAAATAATGAAAATTATTAATAAGCTATTTATACATATATTGTAACATAGATGATCATATAAGTACATGTTATATTTTCACATAAAACTTTTCGTGTTTATTTTTTATATATATATATTTATTTATTTATTAGATACGTACTAGGAAATCTGTGTTCATCGATAGCTTATAACGAACGGATAAAATCAGAGAAATAGATAAAAATTAAAAAAATATTAATTCACAAGATAATTCTTAATTATATGTAATACTGTTTATGGGGTGTGCGAATGAAGAAAGAGATTCAAGAAACAAAATGACATAATTAAGAATTACTTTGTACAAGATTTGAGAGTAGTAGCACTATTTTTCAAAATTTATCCGGAATAATCTAAATTTGTATGATTTTTTTGCTAATTTATTATTATTTTTATCGGAGTCAATTATAATTTTCAAAGAAGATGAAGAATGTATGAAACGATATATTTTCATTATCTTGATCAGAGAATTTCGGATTTTTATAAATGTTGAATTAAAAATGAATTAATAATGTTCACTGATGTGACTACTTTTTTAGTCTGCAAAAGTATTTTTTTTTACATACGTTTGTCGGTTGATAAGTTCATGATTAATTCCGCTAGACAATGAATATCAGCTATGAATATCAGCAATGAATATCTAAGATACGCTAATATGATCGAATCTAAATGTTCAAATGTATTTCCTATCACCATATTAATCTTGTTTTACATTCCGAGATGTTTTTATACAGAACTTTTACCTCGCAGGTGTTCCATGTATCCATTACATATTTCCTCTATTCGCTGTCCTCTAAAAGCAACTCTTACTTAGCGCATAAGGAAAGTTCTGTGACACATAAATAAGGAAAAATTACGCATATTGCATGCGTAATTGATAGCGTTCTACATTAAACTATTATTTCCCAACCTGAGACTTACGAAATAGATTCACGAAGTTATATCTTTTTTACAAGATAGATTAATGTCAATCGTATTCGTAACTGCGTGGACGTATCACGGAAAAAGATTGTTCCGTGAGGAGGAAAAAGGGGAAACGTGCCAGAAGATATGAATGCAAACACTTTTGCGGAATTCCCGTAGCTGCTCGCATAGATCAAGCATGTGTGAAATGATAGGAGTTTGATCCCATTACAAATACTCGAGTAAATATTTTAAAGAATTGTACTGAGTAATTCACATTGAAAAGAATTAAAGGAGGCGTAAAAATGTGACAACACAAACGCAAACGTGTAATGAAGAAAATTTGAAGTGATTGATAATCTGTTTACCACGCCGTTTTTAGTTCATCTTTTTATAACAAATTTATGTGCAGTTTTATAATTGTATACATTTTTTTTACTATGATTAATATTGCTATTAATTAAAATATCTAAGTTTTTGGCAATTTATATGAATGTAATTAAAATATTTAACTTTTTAATTATTTCATTATTTAAATAATTTCAACCGTGACAACAATTATAGAACTAATAAAACAACATGAATATTTTAGCCATCATTAGACATGGTAAAGAATTTAAACATTTCGTCTTTTTGTAATTTTTAAATTTATTCTATCAGCTTATTTGTTTCAATGGATACATTCAGTACTACAACCGCTCACTGAGTGCTCTTGCATCTGTTTGGTCTATATTTTTAGATCTAACGGAATATGCTAATCAGATGCAAGAGCTCACTGAGCTTAATTAACGGTTGTAATACTGAATAAAATCAAAAGTTCACATTTTCATCTTATGCGCTCTCGATTTATGAGAATTCGGATTTGAATGATATAATATTAAGAGTAAAAACAGAGAAAGCGGTTTTTTTAGCTAAGAAGTTACTTTATTCTGCTATATTAACGTAGTTAGACGGGGGTTAAACGTATAAGTCGGGTAGGTACAAATATGATCTTACAATATAAACTGTAAACAAACATCAGTTGTCTGTATGATCTCGACAGTGACCGGTTTCGTATCTGATCGAAAAGTTGAATGTTCGCTGCGTACGTAGTGGAATTCCCAAGTAACGTAAATGCATCCCATTCCAAGCTGTTTCTTCTATGACGAGACGTCCGAAATCAAATTTCTGGAGTAACTCAGGGTGTTGGACTGGCACAACTTTGAGATAACTCAAGTTTTACCAGGTAAGTTTCGAGATAAAGCAAAACTGATATCTTTTTTAAATTGGTTCTCTTAAGAATGCGAGAGCTTCTCAAATTCGTTAAAAATTTTTATATGTAAAGTAACATTACATCGTTTTATTCACATTCTTTGGAATTCCCATGTTACTTATGTGTACCATGATTAAATATATATAATAAAACTGATTTTATTTTAACTGCAATATTATGTAAAAGCCATTTTATTTTGCTCCAAATATTCATTTTTCTCTCCAATACAATATATCTTAATAATGTTCATGTTTCAATGTATATAGTTTTCGGAGAATTTATCATGTGATACTTTCTCTTTAATATTGGCAGCGCTCCTATTTAGCTTTCGGGGAATTTGTCATGTGCTTTCGATAATTTCAATTCGAGGCCAATACGAGTTGTCTATTAGCCAATCAGATGAAAGCGAGATTTTATCCATTCATTTCATCTTTGGAAAGTTTTAATTTTCAACGGCAATCTCTATTTTCGATTCGGGAGCAATATGTTACTCGATCACTAATCGTGCTCTTTTAATTTAAATAAGAAATTAATTCCCGAATTCAGAGAAAAACGTTTTTTTTTTCATTATAATTTTATCATGTGTATTCTGGAATAAGATATTAATCAATAATCACAATGATAATATTCATTTTAACAATAAAACTATAAAATTGATTAATTTTGGTAACGTGCGTACCTAAGGCGTATATTACCGGTACCGCGTACCAAAGTACACTAAGAAAAAAAATTTGTTCAACTAACTGAACACATTTAGTTGTTTGCAGATTTGGTTAATTCAACAAATTTTATTTAATTGAATTTAACCGTAGTCTGTTTAACATTGAACAGCTTGTTAAGCAGACTAAGGTTAAATTCAATTAAATAAAATTTGTTGAATTAACCAAATCTGCAAACAACTAAATGTGTTTAGGTAGTTCAACAAATTTTTTTTCTCAGTGTACGGTGTACCGGTACTGTACACCTTAGGTATGATAGATACGGTACCGGTATGCATAGTACGCTGTACACTCACCATACCAATACCGTCGAAGTATTTTGTTATCTGGGTTTTTTGTAAACAGTCGATAATGCCACTCGATCTATTAATGTTGGAGGAATTTTGTGAATAAAATAAAATAATTTTCTCATTTTTTTATAGTAATTATTTTTAATAATTAGGTTTCTTTATAATAATTGTAAAATGTAGATTTTTAATATAAACTTGGTTTTATTATTTAATCGCTATATATTATTTATTAAATCAAACAATTTGCCAAAAGGCTCAATAAAATTAAATAATAATATAAAAGAGGGCTACGAGCCTAAAATATTAATATAAATTTTAGACTCGTAGCTCTCTTTTATATTATTATTATTTATTATATTAGAGCTTATTATTATATTTTATTGATCAAATTTTTGAAATATTTTTTATTCGTCGCAGTACATATGTTCATAATATATGTTTTTTTATTGTTCATTGTTTTAATATCACTTTCTATTTTATTATTTGCCAAGTATAATTCTTAAAAAAAGAATGAATAATTAACGTCAACATTTATGTATTTAATATAAAATTTGATAGCTTTTTAAATAATTAAGGATGTAATTTTAACGTGATCATTTCTGTGAAAAAAAGCATTAACAATTTCTAACCACGAACATTATTGCGATTATTATTGTTCAACGCCTTAACATCTTTGTATTTCTCGCATAAAGTATATAAATACAACATTCCATCAGAGACTTTACATAGTATTGTTATACCTTTCGGCATTAATTCGCAATAAAAATCCAGCTTTTTTTAAATTTTCCTCATTACTTCGTTCATGGAAAGAGAAAAATTGTTGATATTCCACGTAAAATTGTTTTATACAATCAACTATTGAGATAGGGGACTTTAAACTATAAATAATTGATGCGATCACGTGAATAATTATGCTGGACATCTAACGTAACGTAAATTTATTATTAAAATCACTAAACATTCAATTGTCGACTGGTTTCGATTGAAAACTGTAGAAAAAGTCTATAAACTTTGCACAAACACGTATCTATAGTTCATTACATATCGAATATGTTAATAAGAATTTACTTGCACGACGATATTTTCATACTAAAACGATAATCACAAAATCGATTATAGAAGAAGCATATTTATTGCATATATATCTAACTGAAGTGACGTTCCACAAAAACAACGTGTACGTATCGGATGTTAA